GGGCTGAATTTATAGTCGTCTCTTGAATCTTCCTTGGAGTTGTGAGTTTAGAATGGACACTTGCTACTATTTGACAGGTTAGTTATGTCAATTCTAAACGTTCAAGGCTTCTTTAAGGTCTGAGGAAACCTCAAGGTGCGACTATAAATTTGGTCCTTAAAGTACATGAATATAAATGCTACTGGAACTCTGTAAGAGATTGTTATCGTTTTCGTTATGGCACTTGCTGTCTTTTTCTCTCTTGTCGAAATCAATAAAGAGGAGACGTCAATAGAGATGGAGAAAAAATTCTCTCTATTCGTTACAGAGTCCCAACTATGGCTGTTATCCCATTGATCGGCCATTTAACAACCGACCAATAGAATTATAGAACGGTAAATTTATCTTGCAAATATTTACCAGCAAGTTTATCTATCTGAAGATGAATAAACCGGGCTTCAATCCCTATGACGTACTTGAAGTACAAATTGTATAGAGTTGAATTTATTGTTGTTCTTTGAGTCTTCCTTGGATGTCGTGATTTTAGAATGTATACTTGTTATTATTTGACAAGTTAGTCATATCAATTCTGTCAATTCTAAACGTTCAAAACTTCCTCGAGGTCTGAGGAAATCTCAAGGAGCAACCAATTTGGTCCTAGGTACTTCACAAAACTCTCATGTTTTGACAGTTTGTTAATGTTGAGACGAACTGACATTCGTATATGAGGCATCGACACCATAATTTGACATTTTGTGATATCAAAGGCCTTACCAAGTGCCTGGAATTGAAAAAAAGTTAATTGTTTGTAAAAGTTTGTCTAGTAATAACAAACAGATGACGTCATCAGGTGGTTTTTATAGAGATTTGCATTATTTTTAGGCCTATGGTTTAGGCCATTAGTTTGAGCATGCATGACGTCATAGAAGTTATCAGGTTATACGGGCCCTCTTTTGAATAATCTTGATCCTAACAGAGGTTGTTTGAAAGAGGTAGGTTGCCTAAAAGTTAATAGGTTGTCTGGTAATGGGTAAATTGATGACGCATCTGGGGTGCCTTATGGAAATTTGCTATAAATTGAAGCACCCCAGATAACGTCATAAAGTTAACAGGCAACCTACCTTTCTCAAACAACCTTGGGTTGCCTAATAACTTTTATGACGTCATCTGGGGTGCCCAAACATAATGCAAATGCAAGGTTGTTTGATGGCGAAAACCATTGATACAATTAGTGCACAAAACATGTATTTCCGTCACTTTATTTCACATGCTAATAGAAAAGGACTTAAATACACTCAGTGAACTTACCAATGGATTCCACTATGAGAGAGGTAAGTTGCCTGATAACTTTTATAACGTCATCTAAAGAGCCTCAACATAACGTAAATCTCGATAAGGCACCTCAGATACATCATCAAGTTACCCATTACCAAACAACATATTAACTTTGGGAATCTTGATGCAAATTTACATTACGCACCCCAGATGACGTCATCTGTTTTCTATGACCACACGACCAGGCAACCTAGGAAGCACCTTGGATCCAAATATTGAAATCCAAACCACAAATTCCAAGATTCAATATGGCGGCAATTGTCAAGCATCTGTGATGTTTTGATTTTTGAAATTTTTACTTCGCTCTCGTTTGATCTTAAGTAACTACTTTTGTCATTTTAAAATTCAAATTATGATGATGTTTTGACCAACGTCACACCTGTCACCTGTCAGTACCGAAGGTTGTGGGGGTAGCATCCAACAAAACCAACAACCAAACAAAACCAACAAAAATAACAAACGAAATAAACAACCATGTTCTACAAGGTGTCCGGAATAACTTGAAGTACATGGGGATTTTGGAAACCATATACGGCGGACCCAATGGGGAAAAAGTTGCGCAATCAAGTTGCATTTGGCACACACTCTTTAAAATCCCCCGTATTAAGTCAAAATTCAAAACCAAAAAATCTATTTAGTGCAGCATTTTGCTATTACCTATTATCTATTACTGTGTGTAAGATTTGACACATTACGAGGAATATTTACATAGTGTGTGCGAATTGCAATGATTTCCACTGTACTTCAACTACACACTGTATAGGGTTGAAAGGTCGTGAGTTTAGAATGGATACGTGTTATTATTTGACAAATTAGTCATATCAATTCTGTCAATTCTAAACCTTCAATACTTTCTCGAGATCTGAGGAAATCTCAAAGAGCGACCAATTCGACCCTAGGTACTTTAGAAAACAACTCATGTTTTGACAATTTGTTAATGTTGAGACAAACTGACATTCGTACATAAGACATTGACACCTGAATTTGACATTTATGTGATATCAGAGGTGTCATCAAAAGCCTGGAATTGGCAAAATGTTAATTGTTCGTAAAAGTTTGTCTGGTGATGGCAAACAGATGAAGTCATCAGGTGGTTCTTATAGAAATTTGCATTATGTTTAGACCTCAGAGGATATCTATGGTTTAGGCCATTAGTTTAGGCACACATGAAGTCATAACAGTTATCAGGTTATACGGGCCTTCTTTTGAATAACCTTGATCCAAACGAAGGTTGTTTCAAAGAGGTAGGTTGCCTAAAAGTTAATAGGTTGTCTGGTAATGGGTAACTTGATGACGCATCTGGGGTGCCTTATGGAAATTTGCATCAAATTGAAGCACCCCAGATAACGTCATAAAATTATCAGGCAGCCTACCTTTCTCAAACAACCTTTTATGTCGTCATCTGGGGTGCCCAAACATAATGCAAATCGAAGATTATTTGATGGCGAAAACCATTGGTAGAATGTTTATGGGTAAAATTAATGCAAAAAACATGTATTCCCGTTACTTTATTTCACATGCTAGTAGAAAAAGACACGAATACACTCAGTGAGCACTGAACTTACCAATGGATTTTACTATGAGAGAGGTAGGTTGCCTGATAACTTTTATAACATCATCTAAGGTGCCTCAACATAATGTAAATCTCCATAAGGCACTCCAGATACATCATCAAGTTACCCATTACCAAACAACCTATTAACTTTAGGAACCTTGATGCAAATCTACCTTACGCACCCCAGATGACGTTATCTGTTTTCTATGACCAGACGACCAGACAACCTAGGAAGCACCTTGGATCCAGTTTGGATCCAAATATTGAAATCCAAACTACAAATTCCAAGATTCATTATGGCGGCAATTGTCAAGCATCTGTGATGTTTTGATTTTTGAAGTTTTTACTTCTCTGTCGTTTGATCTTAAGTAACCACTTTTGTCATTTTAAAATTCAATTTATGATGATCTTTTGACCAACGTCACACCTGTCACCTGTCAGTACCGAAGGTTGTGGGGGTCGCATTTAACTAGCGGAATAGACAACCATGTTCTACAAGGTATTTGGAATAACTTGAAGTAGATGGGCCATGTTCGTTTTTGTCATCTTTTTTGTTGATTTGCTTCGAAATTTTGACAGGCACGTGACTGGATCAGACAGTTTCAATTTACAAATCACGTGCCTGTCAAAATTTCGGAACAAATCGACGAAAAAGATGACAAAAACGAACACGGCTAATGGATATACATTGGGGATTTTGGAAACCATATAGGGTGGACCCAATGGAGAAAAAGTTGCGCAATCAAGTGCCTACAAATAATCTGTCATTAAACAACTTTGACAAGACATATACACAAACATGAACAAATGCACTTTTTGATGGTTTCGAAAATCTCCCATGTACTTCAATCCCTATGTACTTCAAGTATACGCTGTATAGGGTCGAATTTATAGTCGTTCTTTAGAGGTTGTGAATTTAAAATAGATACTTTTGTTACTATTTGACAAGTTAGTCATTACGAATTGACATTTGTACATGAAACGTTTGACATTTATTTGATATCAGAGACGTCACCAAGAGCCTGGAATAAGAGAATAATGAAAATTCAATTGCCATATTGTTCTTTACATATGTTTTTCCTATTATCGAAAATACCCAACCTGTGTTCCGATGATCCCTATCGGACAAAACCACAAATCAAACAGTCCCAAGCCCATATGAGAGCAAACAAAAACTGTAGTCCCCATAAAACTATTCCCACTTATCTTAAAATAATACCCAAAGACAAATACTGGGCCTTATCTTTTGTTGACTTGGACTTGATAGTTTCAAGTCAAAAGTACCACAATCAGCGATAAAACGAAATAATTTACTTTTGAAAAGATAAAGGGAGCTAATCGGAACGATTTATGGTAAAAAAGATTATTCAACTTAAATGAGTCAAACTCTACATTTTTCCATGAAATCATTACAAATATGTTTTTTTCTTATCCTAGTTCCATGATGAAGCACAAAATGCAAGAACCTTGTTGAGTGGGCACTAAAAAGTAAAAGTACGTGATCATCGTAGAAATGGCCCTTTTTGCCCATTTTCGAAGGTAGAAATTAAAGGGCGTGCCGGACCGAAATGAGATCGTTATCCTTTATTGTCTTCCTACCATTTATCTAATGGTAAAAATCTTTATTATACACCACACTTGGACAGTGTTAAATGGACTTTTTTGTTTTGTTTGAGGTTTCGTACGTGTAGGAATTTCAGTAATTTGGAGTTTTCCTTATTTTGACTTTACTAGGTTTGAAGGAGTATACCTATTCCGGTTAAATCCTCCCTTCAAAAAAGCTCTGGAGCGGTTCCAATTTTTCCGACATTAGGCTTCAAAATTGACAATATGTATTTCAAAAATTTGAAACTTCAAATGACTATACCCATACTGTTACTTCAATTTGCTGACATTGTCTCAAAACATCAATTTGAAAAGTGAATAGGTATCTACGAAATTTGAAACAGAAAAATGTTACGTTTGTAAATCTCAAAATAATGAGCTACCAAAATTGAATTATTACTCGATCTAACTGCTCAGAAATATACCAGTTATGCCACTAATGTAGATAACTTTTGATAACGTCGTACTCGAAATCTGGCTCAGAAGGACCACAAACTTATTATTGTTAATAATCAAAAATGTTTACCTTCCAGTCCAATCGCACTCGTCACCCATAATCGAAGCGACACTAAGCCCAATCAAAAACGAGTGCACCACAAAATACATCGACAAAGGAAAATACATTTTCGAAAAAAATCTTCAAAAACAGTCACTACATCATCACAATTATCGGAAAACTCGCGACGATTATTATCGTAAGCATAACCGATCTGTTCACCAGTCAACGTCTGTGGAACGACTCATATAACCAGTCTCTGCACAATGTTGAAAAGTAACAAGTGGTTCTGGTAGCGCTCGGAGCTACGATTTCCGCCGAGCCGACGCGATCGAGTTTAAATTCCCTTTTGCTATGTAACGCTTTTGTTGTATAAGAGATTTGTGTGTTTCGAAGGGGGACTTTGAGAGGTGGGTGCATTATATTTTATTACAGGGGTGAGATTGAATAGAGACACTTGGTTAGTTAAGGTTTGTTGAATGATAATGGCCAATAACTACTTTTCAATGTGATTGATATTATCTTAATTGCTCAGAAGTTCACTTTGCGGTTTCTATTTGAACATCTTTTCGGAAGCTACTCTTCTTTTTCAAGAAAATGTTGAGAATCATCTTTTTTTGGATCTTGTGGTAATAGTTTTTGGAACTCAATTTCCAATTGGTTGCTCAGTAAGAAGATAATGAATCTGTCACACGTATTTGTACAGCAATTTCTAAAGTTCGTGATGGTTTTGGTTATTAGAGTTCATCTTTTAAAGAAAATGTTGAGATACATCTCTTTCTGAAGCTTGTAACCAGACAGCACTTAATGAAGTCCCTAAGATATCCACAAATGACATTCGAGAATCGAGACGCCTTCTAGACGTCTGCTTGTCTTCAAGGAATCTTTAAAATATCTTGAAGACGTATATTACAAAGCCCAACGTCTTTCAGACGTCTGCCTAAAGATAACATATGTTGATATACCTACCGATAACAGATAACAATACTAAAATTGTCAATATCTGAAACACAACAACTAACAAACTATTGAGAAACTGATGCGATATAATATAAAAGTCGTATGAGACCAGAGTGATCCAAAATTGGACGTCTTTTTGACATTGTCGTAAGTTGGGGTATCTCCAAACAGTGAAAATTCAGAAGATACTTTAGTTTAATTATCTACTCAATTTTCCCCTTAATTTCTGTTTTTCAATACTTACTCAAATTTTTCTGTCTAAATGTTTGTCTATTCCTGGCTCTTGAATTGTTTTCTTCGGTATGCCTACCTCCAAACAGGGAAAATTCAAAAGCCTGAAATAGGAAATAATAGCACACTCATTATGTCTACTCTATTAAAGTGTTCCAGAAGGGAAAAGGTCATGATAGTTAAGGTCAATACACCCTTTCTAGACTTTTCTCCATTCACCTGCTTCGTGACCTGATGCCTTCCTGGCTTTCAGGCTTTGGATTCCCTAGGGATTGACCTTATCCCTGGTTCACGTCGTTTGTCGGCGGATTGATCAATCTCATTTTTATCTGGAAGTTCATTTAAGCAATCTTTCCGCTCTAAATTATCTGCGAAAGCTTAAGCTTTTACTTTATATCAGAGAATACCTAAGGCAACTCCATCAATTAGAAATTTTCCCTAAATTTCTTCTCTAAATTTCTGAATTTTTCCGTCTCAATTATTGTCTTTTCCCGGCTCTTGAATTGTTTTTTCTAAATATCTCTACACAAAGAAAATTCAAGAGCCTGGAATAGAAACAACATCCCTGATAACATAAGTGCTATTCTAGCAACATATTGGGGATATCTGGGTCGGACATTTAGTAAGTCCAGATGAGTATATCTTTTCAAAGTTCTTGATCTTTCCTGGGACATACCTAGGATATATATATACAACATTCAAGGAGGTCCAAAAAGAACATACCGTTACATTTAAAGGAAAATTCCCAGGAACGTACAAAGAAGAACTTTTAGGCATATCAAAATATGAATTCCCAGGGACGTTCGGATGGACATGGGATATTAAACGAAAGTCCTTAGGATGTCACAAACGCTACCTAGACTAGTCGTTTGCAGATGTCTTGCGAAAGTTCCGAAATGCTCAGATCGAGATGGGCTCTGAATAATTTCCAGATTCGCCTTTAGCGGAAGTTCTCAGGATCTCGGTTTTTAGTCTGGGACATTAAGACTTACATAGGATTTAAGACGAACGTCCTGTACTGTTTGGGCAAGAGGTGGTTGTAATCCAAAATCCAAATGTGAACTATTAACAGATCTTGATTTTCTGAAAAAATTTCGGAGCGACTCAAGAGTCGGTAATAAACAAAATTTGAATTTTTAGCGACTCTTGATTCTTTGTTAAAATTATCTAATGACTCAACAGCTGGTAATAATTAAAATTTGAATTATTACCGGCTCTTGTTTTTGTAGAGAAATTCACCAGCAACTCAAGAGCCGGTAATAATCAAAATTTGAATTATTACCGGTTCTTGATTGTCTATAAAAAATACCGAGCAACTCACCCAGATAGCACAAGCCATACTAGCAGTGTATTGGGGATATCCGGGTCGGACATTTAAAATCTGTCATACTGAGTACTTCCTGAAAAGAAGTCTCATGGATATCACAAGAGGAATTCCTAAGATTATGTAAAGACGCGATCCTAATAATACAAAAGACGAATAATTAAAAGACGGTCAGTGAATTAAGAAGTAGTCCTTTTTCTCTGTTTCTTTAATAAAAGACGAACTGTGAAGATTGAGACACGATCGCATGATAAAAGACTGTTTGTCAATTGTCGCCAATTTATATTCATTTTCGCCATCATATAGGTACCTGTGGTTTTTCTTTACTTATACACCCTTTTAAAATTAGCTACTGTGGCCTATTTATTCGAAACCCTTAGACAACAAGAATTTATTTGTTGGACATGGGATTTAAAACGAAAGTCCCCAGGATCTCACAAAGGTATATTTCTAGACTAGTCGTTTGAGGACGTCTTGCGAAAGTTCCGAAACATTCAGACCTAAATGTGCTCTGGAACGGTCGTTCTCCAAGATTTCCAAAACGTACATTTTCTAGATTAGTCGTTAGCGAACATTCTCAGCTCAGGATCTCGGTTTTTAGTCTGGGAAGTTAAGACTTATATGGGATCTAAAACGGATGACTTTTGGACCACCTATGTTATCTGCGAAACTATCTGTGAAAACTTAACACGTTGAAAGACAGAGACGCAGATCAGCGTCATTTCCAGAGACGCAGATCAGCGTCATTTCCTGAAGTTGTGATGAGACACAACACTGATATGCGTCTTCAGATTGATGGTTGAAAATTACACGTCGCCGTTCAGCTTTTGTATCTACCGTACAATTTAATGTGAATTAAATCGTCAGTGTCACATTACTAAGTTCGAATATCAGTGCCGCAGTGTCAAACATCTGAAATTCATTTATATTTCCAATCCCCCCCCCCACTTTATAGAAACAGAACGCTGTCCGGCGTCTGCATAAATTGGTATTTTACAGAAATGTTGACTGTCCTTCAATGTGGTAATCTTTTACTTTATATCAGAGAATACCTAGGCAAACCCATTAAATCTGTAAAATCGTCGAATGATGGTTTTCTTTCTCACAGATACTTCTGCTTTTTAGAAACTTTTGTTAAATTTCTTCTCTAAATTTCTGAATTTTTTCGTCTCAATTTTTGTCTATTCTCGGCTCTTGAATTATTCCTTCCAAATATCTCTATGCTCGTTTGATGTTGAATTTCGATTTATCTTCGATAATAAGAGCCGCGGGACTGTAATCACGTTGATTCATCTAAATTTTTGTCGAAAAATGATATTTTAACCCGAGCCATACAAAAACAATAAGGAGGCACTTACTTGTGTTTTTCCTTTCCAATGATGTTTTCTTTTCCTGCAGGTGCACCTGGATGGTCTACCAATTCTTCGACGGACACAATCACATAAAATAGGTTTAAAATATCTTCTAAAACTATGAGGTTGATTTTCTAACGGAATTTTTAACTGCATTTCAAAGGATCGGTTTTAGAGTTCTGAAAACTCAACTGACAAGTTCGGATCTCTGTCTTAATCTGGTTGGTGCGCTGATTTCTGTGAAGCGCATCGAATCTTCTCGTGCCATATAAAACTTGAAATTGTATGGCGCCAAAATTTAAAATCAAGTATACGAATTAAATTAGTTTGGAAATTAAGCTATTCGCGAACACTCTACATAAAGAAAATTCAAGAGCCTGGAATAGAAACAACATATAGGTACTTAAGTCTACTTATCTACTCCATTTTTCCTTAATGTCTGCCTTTCACTTCTCAAATTTTTGTTTATTCCCGGCTCTTCAAGAGCCTCTTAATATTGAGTCGGTAAATTCACTTTCTAAACTGTCAGGTAATGCAATATGTAGTCCCATTGGTCAACCAATTATCTAGTGACCAACAAGATTTATAGATCTGTAAATATATTTTGCAGATAGTTACCAGCAAGTTTAGTTTATCTCAAAATGAATAAACCGGAACTAAGATATAGAGAACATTGAATCAGGGCCGCAACTAGAACCCTCGGCACCCAAGGCAAGTCCAAATTTTGGCGCCCCTCCACCGCCTTCTCAAAAGAAACAATAGATATATTTTTTGATGCTTTGGTTTTTGCTTGAAATGTTTCCAATACATTTTCGAAATATATAATTTAGACACATTAAATCAAAAATATTTACGTACTAGCTACCCCAGTAGCACAACAATATTGGTAAAATATTATATTTACATATTGGCCCAAGAATGGAAACGACAGATTTTTTTTTAATGGCCCAATATATATTGTGAATATGAATCCAATATTGAAGAAAAATATTGTCCCAATATTGCTAATCAATAAACATGTAATATTGCTTTTAGAATTATACCCAATATCTGTTTTTCAGATTGGCACAATGTATACTTTTTATATGAATCCGATATTGAATGTAAATATTTCTCCAATATTACCAATTAATAAATATGAAATATTTCACAATACAATATTTCCTAGAAATATTCACAATATTTTTTTGGAAAAACACATGTATTTAACCAAAGCTCCAACACCTGCAGACTAGACCGGTTTCCGGTTTCGAGCTTGTTAGCGAAGCACACCAACTCAAAGAAATAGTTTTGGAGGAAACTCAAACACTAGGGAAGAGCAAGGCCATCAGTAGCGCGTGGTGCCCTCTCTCGGTAGTCCTGATTGATATGGAAAGGGTACATCTCC